CCATTTTGTGGCAGTGCCATTGGCAATGTGGGTACCCTGTGAGATCACTCACATATAAGGAAGTGCAGACAAGAAAATCACAAAGGCCAATAATTCAGTGTGTTATCTTTAGTGATATTAAGGCTGTTTATGGACATATTTTTAGAATCATTATGTGTCGATTGCTGTGTTTGCATTATCTTATTTAATCCTTGCAATATTTCTATGACACTATTATCATTATTATCTCTATTTTGTAGCCAGGAGAGTTAGATTTCAATCTGATGAGTAGAGAGAAAGTATGATGTAGAAAAATGAACCTTGTTCTGAATTCTAGTGTCAGTGTGTTTTGGACTTCATTTTCTCCATGCATACAATGAGGAAGTTTACTTTTATTTATTATCTGTTTATTTATTTGGTACCAGGGATTGAACCCAGGGGTGCTTAAACACTGAGCCACATCTCCAGGCCTTTATTTTTTTTATTTTGAAACAGGATTTCACTAAGTTGCTTAGGACCTTGCTAAGTTGCTGAGGCTAGCTTTAAACTTGCAATCCTCCTGCCTCAGCCTCCCAAGCCAGAGGGATTACAGGCATGCACCACCAAACCTGTTAGAAAGTGTATTTTTTTAAGAGAGAGAAAGAGAGAGAGAGAGAGAGAGAGAGAGAGAGAGAGAGAGAGAGAGAATTTTTTAATATTCATTTTTCAGTTTTCGGTGGACACAACATCTTTATTTTATGTGGTGCTGAGGATCGAACCCAGTGCCCCTCAAATGCCAGGCGAGTGAGTTACCGCTTGAGCCACATCCCCAGCCCAGGAAGTGTATTTTTAAATCTCCTTCAAACCCTGAAAATTTAAATAGAGGTTTACAATCCTTATCTAAACCCTTACAACCAGTTGTGTGCTGGAATTCCTGAGTTTTTGGATTTGTGTAAAATGATATGTTCAAATGCTGTCACTGCAGTGGCATCGGGGGTAGCATCTTATAAGCACATAATAACATTATGATTAAGAAGATTCTTGATGTTTCTGCCTGTATTTTAATAGCAGGGAAAAAAATAAAGATCATTAAAAAAAAAACTCCTAGGAAAAGACAATAGAATGAATTGGACAATACTTTTCTATGTTCATATATGAATACACACCCATGGTACCTCCACATCCTGTTCAGCCATGGAAATGAGAAATTATACTCCATGTATGTATGATGTCAAAATACATTCTACTGTCATGTAGAACTAAAAGGAACAAATAAAAATTAAAAAAAAAACTCCTATAAGTTCAGATAAGTTGATACTGCCATATTAATTTGTTTAAAGACAACAAAAGCTTTTGATTTTCAGAGCTCTGGGTTTTAAGGTCATGGCTAAGGAATTGTGAACCTGAGAAAGGACTGAGGAAAGTGAGCATGGATGATATAAAACATTATGTTCCAGATTCATAGAATTGATGAAAGAGACATTGCATGGGAAATGCTTTTCACAGTACCTAAAACAATTTAGGTGCTAAATAAGACTAGCAAGAAATCATAATAGTTCCATTGTTAAGCTTTGTACTTGATTTTGGTGGCAGAGACATAAATAATCATCAATGACTGTAAAGATGGCACGTGGTCTTATTACATTGTTCTAAGAAAAGTTGACCTCAAGGGACACATAAAGGGAGTGACAGTGATCAACCAGGAATCAATCAGGACTCACGTCCCATCTCTGAAACTACTGGACACATTTGAATGAAACTGATAATATTAAAAACTCTAAAAGCCTACTTTATAATAAGTTCCAATAGGTTAAAGGAAAAGCACAAAAATAATGGTAAAGCCAGTGCATGGTGCCTCCCCAAAAAAGAATCAACTGAATCTAGACTTTAGAAAGCCCAGACTTTCACCACTGACATTTGTGCAATGGATTCAGTGTTTTGAGGTATGACTAATAGTTTCTGGTGGAGGTATATCCAGGTAGTATAATTTGCTTAGGGAGCTTACTCTTTTTTAAAAATTAAATACGCACATAAAAGTTTGGTCCTTAAAGCATTATAAATCTTACATTTATGTATGACGTTTACAAACCTTATGTTCATATTTATATATAAAGTTTGCAAACTTTATATTTAACCTTTAATAAAGACCTTGAATAATAGAGGCATGGCTAGTCATACACTTTTTTCAAAAAAAAAAATTATATATATAATATATATATATAAATTTTAAGTTGTAGATGGACACTCTACCTTTATCTTATTTATTTATATTTTTGTGGTGCTGAGGATGGAGCCCAGGGCCTCACACTTACTAGACAAGCACTCTGCCACTGAGCTACAGCCCCAGCCCTAGTCATGCACTTTTAAAATGTCATCTCGGTAAAGCAAATATGTGGATTAGAAAGAGGGAAATTGTTATTGAAAAGTGTTGACGATTCAGAGGTTATTTATTTACTGCACTTTGTCCTGCACAGAATGCCGAGACTTAGCAGATGATTGAGAGTTAACACCTTCACCAAGGGCCAGAGAAAGGAGAGAGGGATGTCAATGGAGCTTATGTTGAAGACAAGGTCAGAGAGCAGGAAAAGCACACAGAGGGGGAGCAAAGGTGTTGGCAGAGGAGGGTAGATGCTTTCTAACGCCCCAAATGCAGACATCACAGAAATTCTGCAGTTCAATGCTCCTCCCCCAACACACGCTATTTGGGAGCTTCAATTGACAGACAATGTTGGCTCATTACAAAATTAATGGGCCATACCTATATAACCTGTGATTGCGCAGTTCAGTCGCTCTAACAGTGGTCATAAAGTATGATCTACAGCCTCGCTTTGAAGGGTCATAGATCACAGATAATCTGCAGACTGGCTTGGCTGCAAAGACGAAGCATTCTTCTGTGGGGCAGGGTTTCACGGAAACAGAAGAGAAAGGAACTGCTTTGATTTGGATTGACTCTACATCGATACCAATCTTATCTAAAGAAACCTCATTTCTTCTGCTGTCACCATCAATATTGGAAAAAATATAGAGGAAGAAAAAGTGAATTTTATTGTTTCAGAAGCATGCTACTTCAAAGGAGCCCATGAACCAGCGTGGGAAATGAGCTCTAAGAACACATGGAGTCTCTCTTCCCGTTGCTTCGCCTAGGGCAGGAGGCCTCATGGTTGTCTGTTCCTCCTCTTTGTCAACGTTCTTTAACTCCCCATCATTGTGCACACCACAGAAGCACATAGTGTGTGTGATGGAGTGAATCAAGAGGACCTGTTACCTTCTTATGTGTTTAATGGTAGAGAATAGATACGGCAGAAAATCTGAGAAAGTTTGATCACACTAGTTGGTTCACAGAGGGAAGACTGTGAGACTCTAGATGGACAACGTGACAATCCTGTGTGATCCCACTGGCTTTAGTTCCATATGGTCGGTTACCCTATTATCTTTGTTTCATTCAGTGAGCACCCACTGGATCCTCAGTTTCACATAACTGCTTGGAAAATTCATGTCACTATTCACCAAAAGGACAGGGAGAAAATAGGTCACTCGTCATTTTTGACAAGTTAAAAAAAAAATCAAAGAATGTTGAGATGATCTTTGAGTGAGTTGTGTTGTTCTTGAGCATGTATTTATTTTTCCAAATCAGGCAAGAATGTCACCCAGTGCATATGAGAATCATGAGCCAGTGCTGATAATTTAAGAATTTGTCCTTTATCTTATTGGATCTTTCTACTGTTCTTCACTGCTGAGAAAAGATGACTAAAGATGTGTGCTGTCATGAACAGCAAAACCAGCAATGCTCTATAAATGGTGAAAGAAAAGAGTAGACATCTTTTTTTAATTATTATTATTCTTTTGTTAAACCTTGAGTTATCTGTTCTGGTTAGGGCCGTGGCCTTGAATTTACTAGGTATATCTTTTGCTTTCCCTGAGGGTTTTTGATCAGACCTTGGGGTGAGTATGCATATTTCACTTGAACTTCTCACAAACCTTCAGCCGACTCTAGCTGACTGTAGCTGACTTCAGACTCTGTCTGTAGCACCTTTTTCTTTTTTGCATACAGAGAAATGCTGAAAACCTGTGGTATTCTTGCACATAAACCTGATGTCTAGGAACCACATCTACTTGCATAATAACATTATGATTAAGAAGATTCTTGATTTTTAAAAAATATCATACAAACTTAGAATTGGAAGAAAATATGCTTGGTTTGATTGATAAATCTTGTCATAGCAGCAAGAAATAATACCCTAGCAAATTTAGAGAGTTGATGTAGCTTTTGAAGATGACTCCCTTTCAGGAAAATTTTGGATCATTATATTTTAGGCTCTGTGAACAGAATAGTTGAAATAAAGAAAAGATGATGTGGAAAAGCTGGATAGAAGAGCACAAGGAGAAACGTGTGTTTAGGGGCTTTTTAGATGAGAATAAAAATCACAGGAATTCATATCCTTAAAGACAATCTACACACATGCAGAGAAAAGCAGAGACAGAAGACGGATTAGTGGGTGGTTTGAGGGTTGAATAGATGCATAGAATTTAAGAAGAAAATATATTTATAGATAGAAAAAGTAATAACATCTTTTAATGTTTTGAACCATTGCATCTTACACTTTTTTGTTTTGGGTACCAGGAATTGAACTCAGGGGCACTTAACCACTGAGCCACATTTCCAGCCTTTTTTGTATTTTATTTAGAGACAGGGTCTCACTGAGTTGATTAGGGCCTCCCTAAGTTGCTGAGGCTGGCTTTGAACTCTTGATCCTCCTGCCTCAGCCTCCAGAGCCACTGGGATTATAGGCATGTGCCACCATGCATTTGGTGTCTTACACTATTTCTAGTCACTAAAGTTGCTCAATGAGTAATACAATTTATGTGGACCTTTTACACACTGGTGAAGTGATTTGTCCACAATCACACAGCTAGTAGGAAACAGAACTGGAATTCAAATTAGATTTATCTGACTCCAAAGCCCTTTTGACTATAATACATATTATAGTTTATTTGTGTTTTATCAAATGCATAATTTTCACTGATTTTTTTTATTTTGTTAGCTCACTATTTATGTCCAGCCAGAGCAAAAACACACAGCTGAGTATGCTGCAAACATAACTAAAATTATATTTGATTATTTTGAAGACTACTTTGCTATCAATTATTCTCTTCCTAAATTAGGTAAGAATTATTTTTTTCTATTTTTAATATCGTCTTTGTTTTTACCTGAGTTGATTCATTGCACCTAATTAACTATCATCCCTAAGTCCTTTTCTTATATGTGTACTATATGTGTGTGATACTGACTAGATGATGTTGAGACATCCATTCTGGATTCTTCCAAAAATAATGTGTATACTCTGTTTGGACCTATCTATGTACAGTGTTTATTTACAAACAAAAATGATCAAAAATAAAAGTATGTGCACCGAACTGCAGAGCTTATTAATGATGGAACAGAAACAGCAAACCAGATTAGCTTAAACAACCAGCATCCATCCCAATAGTGTACATGCCTTCCCAACATCTGTGGGCTAGAAAAGAAGAGGGGTAATTGATGTCGCAAGAGTTCCATGTGCTTCCAATCTTCCCATTGTTGTGCAAGACTAATTCTAGATTCTCCAGCAGTTAAAATGAAATGCTGGTGCTCCTTCCAGAAACATCTTTTTTTTTTCCCCTGATATGGAGGGAGGCATGTTTTCCTTTTAAAACAAAAGTCAGACTGTAACCAGAATAGTGTGGGTATGACATTTCTATAAATAGCAGAAATACCTTATTAATAAACTTGAGTGGTGTTGGCAGAACTTTAAATTTAAGACCCATAGAGTTGCTTGTAGTGATGAAATGAAGGCAGTGAAAGAACAAACCAGCCAACAACCGGCTTCCTTGCTCTTCTGTCTGCCCTTCCTTAATAAATTATCAATGCAAAACAACTCGAATGACAAATTTCCTACATGAGAATAGCTATGACTGGGAGCAAGTTTGTATTTTTTTTTCCCCCAGTGGAAACAGTTCCCATTTTTTTTTTTTTATTGCTTAACAGTGATTACAGAAGGAGACAAAAAGAGAAGCAAATTTTCATCCAAATCAGAAAAATAATTAATAAAATATGAAGCAGCTGAATTCAAAGGATTCCACCCCACACACACACACCCCTTTTTTTTTTTTTTAAAGAGAGAGGAGGAGAAAGAGAGAGAGAGAGTTTTTTTAATATTTATTTCTTTCAGTTTTTGGCGGACACAACATCTTTGTTGGTATGTGGTGCTGAGGATCGAACCTGGGTCGCACGCATGCCAGGCGAGCACGCTACCGCTTGAGCCACATCCCCAGCCCCACACACACCCTTTATCTCACTTGTACTGCCCAGATGTAACCTGGGAAGTGGAACTCTGGTGAATTTCTCTGGCTCTTCTGCTTTCTTCCTCCCTCTCTCTTGCTCCTTCTTTATACTCTTTTATGAACATTTTTAACCCTTTAAGAATTAACTGCATCATAGAAGTAACTTCTACACTCATTACACTCCAAAAGTTAAACGTACTAGTGCTATTTAATTATAATTATAGTGCTATTTAATTATAATTCCAATACTCAACCAGACACGATATTACCAAAAAATTTTATTCAGTGATAACGTGCAAATTACACTTCACAATATTTTGAAAAATATCAGCACTTGGTGGAGATACTGCTCCATCCTTTCAGGGATATTCTTATGACAAAACAATAAAACCTAAAAAGTAAACTACTACTATAACTTGACTTCCACTTAAGATATATCCCTTTTTGAAAAGCTTTATGCTTCAGAAATCTTTATTTTAACCAGAAATAAAGGGCTTTTCTTTGTCTTGTTTGTTTTTCAGGATCTTTTTATTGGCGCACCATAATCATACATAACAGTGAGATTCGTCATCATATCTGCACCTGTATACAATATAACAAGAAAGGGCTTTTCTTACATATTAGATGAAAACTTCAGTTTATTTCCACTTTTGTCCCTCATTTAAATTCTATATGTAATGAAAAAATTACATGCTGATTATGGTTCATTGACCAGGGAATCTGTATTTTCCACTAATCAACTGAGCATTTTCTATTTCATTTAGAAAATTTAGCTGCTCGAGGCTTCCTCCTTTTGCCAGGTATTAGGTCTATTATCAGCCTCAGCAAACATAAAGAATAAGAACTCCTCACAAAATCCGACACTTTAGACCTGGAAGAGAAGGAAGAAAGAATATAACCAATTCCATGATTCTCCAACTTATTTAATACACCTAAGTGGATAGTTAGCTATTAGATTGGAGAATCAGGTGGACCTCAAACTGTATAGAATTAAAGGGGAAAGGAAGTTTCGTATTCTCTATTATTCTCTATTCTTGGTTAGAGATTTATTTCTGTGCCCTTAGCCACTCTTTATTTCTCAGTCCTGATTTGAAGACTCTCTATTCTCTTTCTCTTCACAGCTTATCTTCAAAACAGATACTTTTCATAAAATAAGTGAAAATCATGGAGGGGGGAGAAACCTAATATAAAGAAAGTACATATAGAGAGTAACAAAAGACATAAAATTATAAAGCCTTGAAAAAAGAAGGCATGAGTATTCTTCTTTTTAGGAAAAAAAAAAAAAAAGACACGTTGCTATCTTAGAGCCAAACGGAAATACTCCCTGGAAGTTTTAAGACCAAAATGTTTGAATAAACCATTACTGTTTCTCACTCTAAGAAATTATTTTTAGATTTTTACAAAACATTCATCCAAAGAACTGAATTTGGTAAGAAATGCTATGAACAAATGGAAAGAATGCATTTCTCACTGGAGTCTTTCTTTTTCCATAGATAAAATCGCTATTCCAGACTTCGGTACTGGTGCCATGGAGAACTGGGGACTTGTCACTTACAGAGAAACAAACCTGCTTTATGACCCTCAGGAATCAGCCTCATCCAACAAACAGAGGGTGGCCACTGTGATTTCCCACGAACTTGTGCATCAGGTGTGCATGGGATATTGGCATCAAGTCAACTTTTTTTTTTCCCCCCGGTTACTAGGGATTGAACTCAGGGGCACTCAACCACTGAGCCACATTCCCAGCCCAGCCCTGTTTTTATTTAGAGACAGGGTCTTACTGAGTTGCTTAGCGCCTGCCATTGCTGAGGCTGGCTTTGAACCCACAATCCTCCTGTCTCAGCTTCCCAAGCCGTCGGGATTATAGGCATGCGCCACTGCACGTGGCTCAACTTGCTTTTGAAACAGACTTAAAACCATAGGAATAATTCAAATTATCTATGACTTAGCAAATAAAAAATAGCTGATTCAGAAAATCCTGCATGGAGACCATTCTTAGTGCTAATACGTATTTAACCATAAAGAAACTTAAAAAAAAATATTTTGCCATTGGTAAATACACAGACCTTCCTATAACTTTATAGATTCTCAGTAATATCTAAATAAAGGTAATAAGGCAAGGAGAATTTAATATCATTTAAAGATCAGCATAAGTAAAGCAGGAAATAAATACAGTGCTTGCCACTTCTCTGTCACAGTGTCGAAATTTAGATGGATAAATAACTGTTTTGAAATTTTCTAGTCTCTTCTACCATAAGAAGAATTGAACTCTATCTTTATTGCTTATCATTTCAGTGGTTTGGAAATATTGTAACCATGGACTGGTGGGAAGACTTGTGGCTGAATGAAGGATTTGCTTCTTTCTTTGAATTCCTGGGAGTAGACTATGCAGAAAAAGAGTGGCAAATGGTGAGCCCAGAGCACATGCATTCCAGATCTCTTCTTTTCATTATACAAAGCACAATAACGGGCCAGTGTCAGGATCCAAGGGTAATGTGCTTTGGGAAGTTCATTGTGAGACTAGGGTGAAGCCAGCTGGCTTCCAGAGAACTATGCTTAAAGCCAATGCCTAGTCCCTACAAGGCAACTGACCACCACATCAGATATCCCTGAGAGATGTACTTGGGGATATCTTTGAGAGAATCACTTAAAAATACATGTTGAGGCAGGGAAAAAAAAAAAAGACAGCCAACATAGAAAATGCCAATCCTATGTTCAAGAAATATCTATGTGCTAACCCTTTGAAAAATGTCTGTCTTATTTTTTAAACTATTTACCTTAGACAGGGTGCTCTAATAGTGTGGTGAAGAGATAAAAGAATAAACTTAGTAGTTAGCTACAAGTTCAAATCTCAGACACATCATTTCTTAGATTCATGACAGAAAAGTGACCTTGAGCAAGTTACATAAGCTCTCCTTAGTTCTCTCTTCAGTGTTCAATAAGGACATTGTTCTCTATCTTAGAAGCTTAAAAGCTTCCAAAATATACATATATTGACTATTAACATAAAGTGTACCCCTGAGGGACCTGGAAAAAAAAATACCCATGTAAACTCTATAGTTTTTTGTTTGTTTGTTTTAGAAAACTTATCTGTGCTTTGTATTTATATTAATATGGTCTTAGTATTCTTATTCTGATTGTACCTATGAATGTGTGTGTCCACAGAGATATAAATGTGGGAGTAGAGAATTAGGAGATTGTGTTGGATGTAGAATACTGCCCTCTACTGGGAAGAACTAAAAATATAAATGCCTGAAACCCTTGCCATTTTCCTAACCTGCTTTAAAAAAGTAAAAAATCCAATTTGCAATTATTGCTTCTTTAAAATTTTAATATATATCATGATTTTTTATCCATAGAACTGTTGACATCAGGGACAAGATAATTCTTGTACCCATCTTGCCCCAGTTGTGACAACCAAAAATGTCCTCATATACTTCCAAATGGCACCTGAGGACAAAAATTTCCTGGAGTAGATAAGAACCACTCATCTACACTGAAAATGTATGATTTTATAATTTATTGAAAATAAACTACATAAATAAGAAAATCATTTCAGCCTTCTTTCAAAGGAATCCAATGCCCTTCTTATATCAAACTGTTGTAAGAAATTATGTTTCAATAGTGTCTGATACTTTAGTTTCAGTGTTTCAAGAACACTGATAAAATTCCAGAAAGATTTGGTATGCAGTTCTTGAAATTGCAAAAAAAATTAATCATACTGTATAATATATTCACAGTTTATCTGTTCCTTCATCCATTCATTCATTCTTCATTTAGGAAAACTAGAGAGGACCCAAAAATAAATAAAATATATTCTAAGCCTTTAATGAGTTCCTAATTCAAAGTCTTGTTGGTGAAAGGGTCAGATAAAGAAAAATGTTTTGTGAGAGAACTTTATAGTATCACAATAGTGAAGCCTTATTTTTTAAAAAATCTAAGCTTTCTTTTTCTTTGTTTTCCATATTTTTATTGGTGCATTATAGTTGTACGTAATCGTGGGATTCATTGTTACATATCCGTACATGTACACAATGTATCAGCCAATATTGTTCCCCAGCATTTCCCCTTTCCCTCTCTCCTTCCTCCACCAATCCCTTTCCTCTACTGATTTCCCTTCAATTTTCTTGAACCACAACCCTTCCACATTTCCTTTCCTTTTTTCTCTCTAATTTACACATATGAGAGAAGACATGTGACCCTTGACCTTCTGAATTTGGCTTTTTTCATTTAACATAATGTTCTCAGGTTTCCTTCATATTTGTGTAGATGACATACTTTCATTCTGTATAGCTGAATAAACTTCCTTGTGTATATATATATACCACATTTTCTTTAACCAGTCATCTGTTGATGGATACTTAGGCTGATTTCATGATACTTGGCTATTGTAAATTGTGCTGCTGTAAACATGAGTATGCATGTTTCACTTTAGTACGATGACTTCAGTTCTTTGGACTGAATACTGTGGAGTGCTGTATCTGGGTCTATGGTGGTTTCATGCCTAGTCTTTTGAGAAACCTCCATACTGATTTCCATAGTGGTTATACTTATTTACAATCCCACCAACAGCATAAAAGTGTTCCGTTTTCTCCATATCCTCTCCAGAATTTACTGTTGTTTGTATTTTTGTTTTTGTTTGTATTCTTGACTGCCATTCTGACTGGAGTGAGATGAAAGCTCAGTGTAGTCTTCAGTTGCATTGTAGAACCTCCTTTCATCAGTGAAAAAACTCTGAGGGCTGGGAAGTTCACATGAGCTTTCACATAGACAATAGATATTGAAGCTAAGACCGCAGTCCAATTTCCAGATACTGAGAATAGGATTCTTTCTATGCAAACTGCCTATATATACAAAAATCAAAATCCAAGTCAAAACTAAACTAAACTAGCAGTCATCATTTGACAGCAGTATCTTGCCTATTATAAATAGACACCATAAAATTGGAAAATGTCAACAAATATGCCATGCTCTTCTTTGGAAAATATTTTAAATTAAGTAGGCTCAATAAAGTTTCTGATTTTTAAATTACTAATGACTTAACAAAGTTAAATTTCAGATTCTTATTCTTTAAGAAATAAAATCATAATAGCAGCTAAGGTGTTAGGTTTTCCTTTCATGCCAGGATCTATGTCAAGTGCTTACCATGAATTATATCTTCAATCCTGTGCACAAGTCCACAAAGGAGATGCCATTATTACCCCTAGCTAGTAAGGGAGGGAACTTGCTTAAAGACAGCTTAGAACCAATGAAGTTGGGCTATATTCTTAGGCCTCTCGACCACTCTGTTTTGCTGAGAAACACGAAATGAGAAGTGATTATAAGAACTGAAGAATAAGCTAGTTCTTTTTTATTAATTATGAGTCATCCAAATTCCAAGGACAAATTCACAGGAAATAAAAACTGAACCTCAGCTTCAGCAGATTGACATGCTACTTTACTTAATCCTCAGAACAAACTCATGAAATGATGTCACTGCTCCCATTGCACAGATGTGGCTATGGGGCTTAAAAAGTTTGGAATAGTCCAAAAGTCACACAGAAGTGGCAGAACAGAATTCATACCCATTTTTTGTCTTTTTGGCCTGTTTATAGGAGAATGAAGTCAAAGCAGTTATAAATTGAAGAAGGGAATGAAATCAGTACAGATCAATCAGTGCAAAATATGACTGATTTGAAGGCCTACTGTTTGTTTCAAATAATTTGAGTCATTTATATTAATTTTCTCTCAACTTTTATTATATATGGTATTACAAAATGTGCACCAGTCTAAATGAAGTGCTCTATTTCTTTGGCTCGTTCTGTCATTTCAGCGTGACCAGATATTACTTGAAGATGTATTACCTGTACAAGAGGAAGATTCTTTAATGTCTTCACACCCAATAGTCGTCACCGTGTCAACCCCTGATGAAATAACATCTGTTTTTGATGGAATATCCTATAGCAAGGTGGGGAACTGTGGCATTGCTTTGAAATCTTCCTGTTTACTGACTTTTCTTTCAAGTAGAGGCTAAAAATGGTAAGAATGGTATTATACCAAGTGGGCTCTGATTTTTATAATTAGTAGTAATTTAACAGTTACATTTTATAATCTGGTTGCTTAAGGATCAAGATAATGATAACTGGGCATTGCCACAGGATTTTTGAATTCAGTGTTTGAATTTTTCTCTTTTCATTTGTGCTTGTACCTGCTTCCTGCTTTCATTCTGATAATTGAACATTTAGTCTTTTTTTTTTTTAATCAGGAATTGAATCTAGGGGCACTTAACCACTGAGAGACATTCTCAGCTTTAAAAATATATATATATTTATTTTTTAGTAATAGGTGAACACAATGTCTATTTTACCTTATGTGGTGCTGAGGATCAAACCCAGTGCCGCACATATACTAGGCGAGCTCTCTACCTCTGAGCCACAACCCCAGCCCACCTCAGCCCTTTTTTATATTTGATTTTGAGATAGGGTTTTGCTACGTTGCTGAGGCTGGCTTTGAACTCACGATTCTTCTGCCTCAGCCTCCTGAGCCCCTGGGATTACAGGCATGTGCCACCATGCCCAGCAAACATTTAGTCTTTTTTTTTTTAGTATTTATTTTTAGTTTTAGGTGGACACAATATCTCTATTTTACATTTGCGTGGTGCTGAGGATCAAACCCAGTGCCCCATGCATCGTAGGGGAGCGCTCTAGCACTGAGCCACAATCCCAGCCCCAAATATTTAGTCTTTAAACATCAAATTTAAAATTGTTTTAAAGACAGTATATCTTACTTTTCTGCTATGTGGTCTGTCAGTGAGGAATCCCATATATGTGAGCACTTTTTCTAGTAGAATCCTTTAATGCTCCCAGTAAACTTAAATCTAAATCAGTTAGAAGGAAATATTCTTATTCATTTTTAGATAAAATTTAAAGATGACTTATTAGCATTTTATAAATGAGGAATTCTTATCCAATAAAACTTTTATGAAACACTGCTGAAAATCTATAAGCCAAAGTTTTGTGCCACCTGTTCTCTCCCACAACAGCTCCTGCAGTTTCTCCTTCACATATATCCCATTCCTATATGTCACATCATTTAAAACTTTATTTTTGTAATTTCCAATCTGGTTTCTTGTGGTTTACCCACTACATTAAGTTACTCAAAAACTACTGCAAAGTAATACAGTTTGGTTTGGGTTTTTTTGGGGGGGCATTGGTTTTTTGTACCAAGGACTGAACCCAGGGGTGCTGAACCACTGAGTCACATCCAAGACCTTATAAAAAATACATATATATATATATATATATATATATATATATGTATTTTTATGTATTTTTAGTTGTAGTTGGGCACAATACCTTTATTTTATTTATTTTTATGTGGTGCTAAGGATCAAATCCAGTGCCTTGCTCATGCTAGGCGAGAGCTCTACCACTGAGCCCAAACCCCAGCCCCTCAAGACCTTTTTATGTTTTGTTTTGAGATTGGATCTCACTAAGTTGCTTAGGACCTTGATAAATTGCTGAATCTGGCTTTGAACTCATAATCCTCCTGCCTCAGCCTCCTGAGCCACTGGGATTATAAGCATGCATCATCATGACCAGCATTTGTTATTTTAAGTGATGCCTAAAATATAGTTTTATTTATTTATATCATAATTATTGAAATAAATACTTATTAAACTTGACTTAAGTGAAAAAAATATGTTTTAGTATTTGAAATTTATAGCATCATATGTTTTGGCTTTCCTTCTCATATTATTCCCATGGTGTCTTTTTTAGTCTTCTTTAATTCTTTTTCCCTCATATTATCAATGATTCTTTTTATCTTTCTGTTAAAATGAAAATTTCTTATTTACTTAACAGTCTATTTCATTAACTCCCATGGGAGAAGTTAGAACAAGTTTCAAACACCCAGAGTCCTAAGTATACCCAGGACTTACAATATTAGGTCATAAATAAATAAATATGTTTCTATGACATATAATAGTTTTCTTACTATGTCTGAAAACAATTTAAAATGCTTGCTAAATTATGGTAAAAATTACTAAGTAGGGGAGGCAATGTTTTTCTGGTCAGTTACTCAAAAGTTTATTTAAAAATCTTATAAATAGTGCATCTTAATATAAATCTTATAACATATGAAAGGAAAGTAGAAAACAGGTATTCATCAGATTGTTCAGAAAAAAGAAAACCACATAGACAAACTACTTTTACAAAAAGATTTTTGTAAATCTAAATTATATACTATTATATTAAATTGATCAGATAAATCTTCAACTCTCTATGTCCCTCTGATAAGTACAATACTTTTTTCCTGCATGGAGATACATTTTATAATTTGTGAGAATATTACACTGAACTCTTTCTTCATTCATCAAAGCCCCTGATCTTTTGACAGTTTCTTTCATTTACAAAGCTCCATCTGCTGGTTCATTTGGAGAAGTGCAATAATCATTGGAACGGTAAGTCACCGAAGTGAGGGCCGTTTCATTTAGCAATTAACTTTACCTTTTGGTTATTTTAGAAACATAGATAATAGGGTGTACTAAATGGAATTTTTATCCTAAAATCTATAATCATATAATTTAATAGAACAATCTTCAAGAAATAATCTCACAAATATGATATTGAAATATCAGCCACAGTAATGATAAGTGACATTTCTCTATATAATATTTATTAGTTTTATTTGTCACTTCTTTTCCCATCATAGGGAGCTTCTATTCTTAGAATGCTTGAAGACTGGATAACACCAGATAAATTTCGAAGAGGATGTCAGGTATGATTTATACTTTAAGTGGTATCGAAAGTAAGCTACACTGACCTGTGACAAATGAATGTTAAGAAATGTTGCTCATTAAGGATAATTCCTCTTTCATTTTCCTTACTCAGGGATAGAAAGTACGGCAAATGATAAAAGGTTATTTTACATCCAGTTAAATGCCTATATTGTGTCTAAATTATCAAGTTCCAGTAGTTTCATGGAGGAGTTTAAACAGCTTAGTTATCTTTGATACACTTTACATGTGTTCTAGCCAGCTCTGGCTCCCATAGCAAATTAGTCTTGATGGCTCAAACAACAGAAATTTATTTTCTCTCAGTTTTGGAGGATGAAAGTCCAAAAATCAAGATGCTGGCCAATTTAATTCTGGTGAGAGTCCTCTTCCTGTCTTGCAGATGGCCACCTTCTTGCAGTGGCCTTACATGACAAAGAAGAAGCACTATGGTTCTTTTGTAAGAACATTAATATCATCAATAGGGTCTCACCCTCAGTACCTCATCTAAATATGAATACTTTACAAAGGCCCCACTTCTAAATACGATCACATTGAGAATTGGGTTCAGCATACGAATTTCAGGGGAACACAGTCATTCAATGGTAATATGATATGAAAATTTAAATCTATCTGTAAGGGTCTTCCCTTTACAGCGAGAATAAGACTTTTTCTTTATGGCTGGATTGGAAAGCAATTAATTTAAATATCATTTTTATGATGGAATCAATAAATAAAGAAGACCAGCTTCCTTTCAAAAAGAGAAAATTTAAAAACTTTTCTAAATTTAAATTTTTCACACATCCCACTTAAGCATATTTTCCAGTGGATGATCTGGTTTCAGTTTTGTTTTTCTTGCAGACCTTTATCCAATTGTCTCAGGGTTGGTGTTTTATAATATGTATTATTAAAGCCATTATAATGTGTCCCCATAACTGCCCTATCTGCAGATTGGTCCCCTCTCAGCCTAGAAAAGGAAACCTGTTTCTACCTCTTCCTTCTCCAAACTCCCTACTGTGATAACCCAGGTAGTCACAGGGAACAGTGTGGATGACATCCAACCCATAAAGCAGAAGCAGAAGACAGGTTGGAGCAGAGCCCCCAGTAACTCGCACATGGAGGACCAGTTCCTTTGGGGGATGTGATTCCCCAGGACAATGCCTCCATTCCTAAAGCTCTCACTATGGCCATCTCTTCTCACGTGGCACTTAATCCTATGATGCTCAAAAGGAAGCAGGCCCCTCCAGACCAATATTAAGATTCCCAAGTGACTATAAAAGTAACAAATAAGACTAAGATTTAGGAAATATTTAGGGATTGCACTACTATATTTTACTCTTTTGTTCATTAATAAAATATTCTGTGTGGACGTGAGATGCAAAAGGAGAAGCTGTGCTCTTGAGCTTACATGTACATGAGAACATCTTGTAACTTTTCCATCAAACTCAAAATTTTTTTTTTAACCTGGGGGTGGGGAGCTTTTAATCACTGAGCCACATCTCTGGGCCTTTTTATTTTTTAATTATGTGACAGGGTCTTGCTAAGTTGCTTAGGGCCTCACTAAATTGCTAAGGCTGGCTTTGATCTTGCGATTCTCCTGCCTCAGCCTTCTGAACTGCTGGGATTACAGGCCTGCACCACTATGCCTGGCTCAGACTCAGATTTCATCTCATCTTTTCTCATTGTGAGCACCCTATGGAGGAACTTTCTCTTCTACATCTTTTGCATATTCTCCAATGCCTAGTAGAAAATGTTACACATACTAGGTGATACAGAAAATGTTTGTTGAATGAATGAATGAATAGTCTATAATAAATGACATTGTAGAAAATAGAAATAAAAAAGAAATTTCATTTTCAAAAATTGAGTTAAAATTGCATTTGCAAAGTTTTCATTCTAAATCAAATTTTCACTAATAAATCACACATCCTTGGTATTTTCAGAGCAGACTTCAAAGACTGACTTTAAAGCTGATCTTTCTTATTCACTTATTTAGAGAAGGGCCAAAAAAGTCCTTAAAAACAAATAGCTAAACTAATAATTCAATAATACACATTTCCTTTAACCTAATATCTATTATCATTAATTTAAAAAGTTGTCCCAAACTAACATTTCTCAAGTTGAAATCTTCCTCTACCCTAACTATGATCACATGTAATGCTAAAACCTAACTGCCATGAATAGATATTAATTTTTCATACCATTATAGTGCTATGAAATGAATTATAAAAAGAACCACTAAAATATTTATCTTTTTCTCTCAAATAAAAGCTAATATCTAAAAATAGCATATGATCAATATATTCCACATTCAGTAAGCTCTCAGACCAGCTGGGACATTCTTTCACATAGTTCAGGCACCTGAAAAATAGACTCCTTGAATTGCAGTCACCACACTATGATTGTTGCCCGGAAGTCCCACAGTCTGTCAGACTGGAATTACTGCTCTTTCCTTACAGATACTGATTCTCTGTCAGAAGTGGCTGCATTAGTTAACCTGGTGGTGATGAATCTGGGAATGGCAGATATCTGTTCTCTTTCATGCTTATCACGCCCCCCAAATCCAACCTCAGGCAACAAAATATTTAGATGGTGTGGGGAATAAAAGCAAAGTCATTCATTATTTTTGATAGATAAATCATTAAAATTTGTCTATTAAAAATAATAGATCATGGGTCATTAGTAACAATATGTGGTTATGGAAAAGAAATGAGAAAGATAATACTTTATTTTTCTTGTAGTATTAATAGTATCCCTGGTAAGACAGGAATGCTGAGCTGGAAAATGTGCTCATGTGTTTTTCCTTTTGGGAATACTAGCAATAGAAACACTGTTCCTTTCCTTCTGTGCTCACGAATGTCGGCTTATGAGGGACTGTGTTGCATAACTTTAGCTGGAATGACTACATTGTGATTATTTGTGGTAAAGAAGGAAAGTTCTTCAAACAGAATATTCAAAAGCAGTCATCTAAGCAAAATAAAAATTAACACCTTTTCATATAGTGTTATATAAATTTCCATTCAGCCTCTAGTTTCAGAGAAGCAATAAATTGCAATTAAAAAAATAACAACCACCATGATGAAATCCACACATACTGATCCATGATTCAGAATTCTCTTCATAGTAATCTTAGGCAAATCTCTTCACCTTTGTAGGCACTCAAGGTAGTTAAACAGAACAGTTTTCTTCATCTAAAAAAATGTGGGCAATGTACTAAGTAATATTTAAAGTCCTTCTAGATCCAAGATTGCCTGTTTCTAAGCTCAAGACCTTGTGAGTATACAAATAAAACCTAAATTAATTTTAAGAAGATACTCGTCAATATAAATTGTCATTAACATATAGGCATACCAAGTAGTATCATACCAAGTATTCGATTTTTTTTTTTAAGATATAATGAATGATTAGTGCAATACTCTGGAATCAATACCTAAAAATGAGTTTCTTCTCTCTTCCTTTGCCTGCCCTCTGGTGGTAGTGCTGAGAAGTGAATTAATCAAAAGAATTTAAAGAAGTCAGTGTTTCAAATGGGCCTCCGTGCTCCCCCAGGCTTCCTGGGGTCTCACAGATCTTGTTTAATTTCTCTGTGCTTGGATTGGAGAGGAGTTTAGAAGATAATGTGACTTAGGTACAGCACCTATTGAAAATTTACAGCAACCTAAGAGGGAAAATGATATGCGCTAAGTTAACTATGAAGAACACCTAAGGAGTCAGAGATTCTGTGACATCCACCTGTAATTCCAGAGACTCAGGAAGTGGAGGCGGGAGGATCCTGAATTTGAGGCCATTCTAGGCAACTTAGAGAGATCCTGTTTCAAAATAAAAAAATAAAAAGTGCTGAGGATGTGGTTCAGTGGTAGAACACCCTTGGTTCAATCCCAGCTCTGGAAAAAAAACATTTTTTAAAAAAAGAAGTTTCTATTTATATCTAAGATTTCTTCATTTTAGGGTTTTTTTTTTTTTTTTTTAGGAGGGGGAGGGAGTGGTATTGGGGATTAAACCCAGTGTGATTAACTACTGAGTCATATTCCCAACCCTTCCTTTCTTCCTTTCTTTCTTTTTCTTTATTTGAAACAGGGTCTCACTAAGTTGCTCAGGACTTTGCTAAATTGTAAGGCTGGCCTCAAACTTGCAATCCTCCCGTCTCAGACTCCCAAGTATCTGGGAGTAGAAGCATGCAACTACCATGTCAGGCTTAGATGTCTGCATTTTAAATGGGAAATAATTCTAGAAAGTAACAGGAGTGATGCAGCAGGACAAAAGAAACTTCAGAAAGTTTCCTGCAGAACCTCAAGCAGTGTCCAGATATGGGATGAGAAGACTGGGAATTTTCTTTGGGGCTCTATCACATTAGATCTGAAAATTCATATACATAAAAAGGTTTTATGAACAGAATAGCCCAAAGAGGGAGCCTTCTATTTAAAGATTCATATTTTGTTATTATTTGAAGAATAAAGATTTATTCTTTAAGTTTAATAATTTCCTCACTCCATCCATCATCATTATTATTGTTATTGTTAAAAAGACTATACATTTATTTCCTTAGAGAAGAGGTCAGCAAACTACTGCCTATAGACCAAATCGAGCCTACCACCCAACTTTCTAAGTTTTGTGAAGTAAAAGGGCTTTCTACATTTGAGAATGGTTAAAAAAATCAAAATAGAATATTTCATAACATGAAAATTACATAGAATTCAAATATGAGTGTGCATATATATGGTTTTTTTTTTAAAAAAAGCTATGCTCATTCATTTATACATGGCCTGTGGTTGCTTTTGTTATAGAGGCAGAATTGAGCAGTTGTGAGTAGGGCTTCAAATCATGTTATAGAACTTTGAAAAGGCAGCACTGACTTCCAAAGTACTTGTTATCTTTTACATACAGATTTACTTGGAAAGATTCCACTTCAGGAATGCAAAGACTTCAGATTTTTGGGAAGCACTGGAAGAGGTAAGGAGGAGTATACCTCTAAGTATTTCTTGTTCTGACTTACAGAAGATTTACTAGTCATTTCTTTCCCTGACTGTTCTATTTTTTTCCCCTTGTTTGTAAATTAATTAATCTCTCTCTCTYTTTTTTTTAATCTTAGGCAAGTGAGAAGCCGGTGAGAGAAGTAATGGACACCTGGACTAGACAGATGGGTTATCCTGTGCTAAATGTGAATAAAACAGGTGTCACACAGAAGCGTTTTCTGCTGGACTCAAGAGCTGATCCTTCCCAGCCACCTTCAGATTTTGGGTAATTCATTTCAGAAAAAAAGTAGAAATTTGGCAGAAATACCCGTCATTTGCTTAGATATTGCTCTCCAGTACATGATCAATGTGTTCAAATAGCCAGGTGGTCTCCAGGTTCAAAATGGTGGACTGAGCACACGCTGCTCTTCCCAACGTATGAATGAGTGGCGGAATGAATGTACTAAAATCAATAAACCCTTAAGAGTAAGGAAAATAAATGGGTGGGACTACATTCATCACAGAATTTTGTGAAATAAAAACAGAAGGAGAAATACTGACAGAAAACCAACTGAGGAAAATGCAGCTAGATGATAGTAAAGGGACCTCCCTGTCCCTAGACAGGGTCRGGGCTCAGTGTCAGCATGAAGAATGCACAGCAGGAGTGAGAAGCCAAGCTGAAAGTAGGACAATTTTTATGACGTCTAGAAGTAGGACTTGTGCTCYTCCACTTTCTCCATCCACTACCAGTCCTTTCTCTACACAGAACTCTAAGAAATCTGGTTGTGACCCTGGGGCAAGAGTACAGAGGGCTGTTTACTAAAGAAGTAAACCAAAACAGTGGAGGAGAGCTAAGCGTTTCCATTTCATTAGGACTCCCAGACTATAGCATTGACCTTTTTCATAAGTGTTATTTATTGGCTTTCAACTTTTATAATCAACCAATGGATAACATGTAAMGGTGTTGTTATGGTGGCAGAATACATTGGAAATATAACCTATCTTACCATTATAATCAGAAAAAAGAAAACCTGACAGAAAAGAGGAGGTGGAAAAGGGAGAAAAAGTGGAAGAGAGTGTGGGGTACTTACTCAGTGGTGACAGGTCTCTTCCCAGATTGGTGACGTCGTGTTGTCCGTCCGTGCTGCTGTTCTGGTAGCTCAACCCTGGAAATAGTGGGAGCATCATGTGAAAATGGGCAAATGCTGTTTTGTCCTCTGAGAGCTGATTGTTAAGCAGCAACCCTCCAGGGACTGTCCTTGCTTAACAGTTAGGAAAGTGGTAAAAACTTCATGAAGCAAGAGTGGTGGAATGAGAATATTATTTAGGGGTACATTGTAACCTATAGAAAACTAAAAATCATTTTATTTTAATTTTTTTTGGTTAAGTTTTAAAAGGGAAATAGAAAAGAAAGCAACATAARCGCACCAAGTCACCCTCCAGTGGATGAGTTAATACATATTGTTTAAACAAAAATAAATAAATAAAGTTAGGATGCAGAACTAAAACCAGAAGCACTTAAAAGTAGAGATGCTGGGGCTGGGGATGTGGCTCAAGCGGTAGCGCGCTCGCCTGGCATGCGTGCAACCCCGGCTCTCGATCCTCAGCACCACATACCAACAAAGATGTTGTGTCCGCCAAAAACTAAAAAATAAATATTAAAAAAGTTCTCTCTCTCTCTCTCTCTAAAAAAAAAAAAAAAAAAAAAAAAGTAGAGATGCTAGGGACTGAGGTAGTGGCTCAGAGGAAAAGCACTCGCCTAGCATGGGTGGGGCACTGAGTTTGATCCTCAGCACCACATAAAAATTAAATAAAGGTATTGTGTCCACCTACAACTAAAGAATAAATATTTTTAAAAAATAAAAATAAAAAAGGAGACGCTGAATAAGGTGCTGGCCTTGGGGTGGGGAAGATGGGAAGGAAAATGTGGTTATTCAACAGTTTCCTAGTTTGTGATTAATGATGAGTTTATGTAAAAATTTCATAAATTTAATTCTCTTGAGCATTTATGCAGCACTTAGGAGCTTAATCAAGTTCTTTTGYGTATAGCATTTATAAAAACTTAGAATCAAATTCTTCTAAACACTACCAGTTACAATTTCATTAAATTATTTTCTAATTTCCAAATACAAACACCTAAAGGTTTATAAATCTTTTTTTGAAATTATTTGATATATTTTTAGAAATTAACAATTTAAAATACAAATACAGTTTATCAAATTAGAGTGACATTTTTTCATCATGTTAAAAATCAAATCCTCAACTTTACCAAGCAAGATTTTTCTAGACAATTGAAACATGGATACTGAGTTCAGGTTTTCTAAATATTTTAATTAATATTACAAATCCAATGTGTTGTGTTCTCTGATGTGCTAGGTTTTTAAAAATGTTCCAAAGACTGTAAAAGTTGATACAGCATGTACAGCATAGCCAGTGATCTCAAAACTCATTCCATTTGCACAAGTTCAACTTGTACAAAGTCTTGATGATATGAGCATTTCTGCATAACTTATTTTGTATACATTTCTGGGGTGCCAASCACCCCACCAACTGAAAGGTAAAAATCAGACTCTCAGGACACCCAAACTGTATACAACATTTTGGGGATATCATCCTGGCCAGCTGACCATGCTGAGTCCCTCCTAGGTAGGTTACTAGGTGAACAGGAGCTGCATAGCCTATCACTGGTCCCCGGACATTGTTCCGGTTTCATCCAGTTCCAATTTTTATTGTCCCTTCTTGCAACTTTGAAATATTTAGTTGGGGTAAAGAGGATTTGAACTCATGCTCACCCAGGTGCTCTGCAATCTCCATTGCCTGATTCTCACTGAAGAGAATCGTCCTTCTGCTCTCTTTCTTAATGATTTCATTGGCATTATTTTATAATTCCTGTATAAGTCATTTGGTGAGCTCAATTAGTTAGTAGCAATTAGAATAACATGAAGAATGAGAATCTTAAGCTATGAAGAAAGTATTTTGGAAAGTGTTTAATAACTATGAACCAGTTCCTTCATAGTTACTATTGTATGTTCTAGCAAATTACATTCACTAACTTTATAATAGTGTTGGAGCTGTTTGATATTAAAATTTAAAAATATTYCTCTCTTGTGAAACAAGATTTCTTTGGGAAAGTTTCTTGGTAATTATTCTCTCTTGTCATACATGCCCACTGATTGGCTGAGCCTGAATTAATCGGGAGAGAGGGATGGGAGATGGAGATGGCGGGGATGAGGTCACAGAAAACATCTGTTTACCAGGATGAGATATTGAMGGTGAGCAAATTGGTGCAAAGGGAGTAAAGCAAACTATAATATGGAGGAAGTCCTCAAAAGTTTTAAAAGGAGCTTTGTGCATATAATGTGTAACATTTACTAAACCTTGACTAAGTAGCCAGCACTATTTTAAGCACTTTAGATGTGTTTGATGAGAACAGTTGAGGACAATGAGGCAGAGAGAGAGATTAACTTATTCAAGGTTATTCACACGCACAGTAAATGATAGAGCCTTGATCTGAACAGAAGGCAGTCTGGCTCCAAGAGACTGGAAGCAGAGCAACTGGAAAAGTGGTGGGAGACAAAGGTGGGGAGAAAGGCAGGGACAGGTATGCAGGCCACATGAAAGATTTTGGACAACAATGTGCAGATTCAAGGATTTTAAGGAGAGAATTSGCAAGATTTGCGTTTTTCCAAGTTCCTTGCTCGCTACACTATGGGGACATGTGTGGAATCAGGGAGGCCAAGTAAGATGACATGGCAGTGAATGACTCATGTGACAACTGGGATTGATGGGCCCAGAGTAGGAGGGTGGCTGTGGCTGGAAGTTGTGGTAGATATTCCAAAGATTTCAGTTAAACATTTTCAATTAAAAAATAAACAACAGCCGGGTACAGTGGTGCACACCTATAATTTCCAACTGAGGCAGGAGGATCACAAGTTTGAGGCCAGCTTGTGCAAGAGAGACCCTGTCCCAAAATTAAAAATAAATAAACGAATAAAAGGACTGAGGGTGTCCTTCAGTGGTGAGTGCCCCTGGGTTCAATCCCCAGTACTACAGTAAATAAACAAATAATATGCAAGTGACTTAATCAGATGAATTTGCAGAAAACAACTTCTTTTTTAATTCAGGACTTTGAGAATTCAGTCACACTAACAGCACACTCGGGTATTTAAAAAAAATAAAATTGCCAAAACACTTTACTGTCCAAGGTATGAGAGAATGGAGAGCACTCAGAATTATGAAATTAACTATTTCTAAGGTGCTGGCTGGAAAAGCCTGAGGCACTCACCTGGTAGGCCATTATCAGCCTGAGCRGGAACCTCAGGAGCTCAGCTCTGTCACAGACAATGAGGTTCCAAGAAGCTGGGTGTCTTCCTGTAACACAAATTCTGAAAATCAATAGTTCACACCAGCACAAGGATAATACCAGAACCCACACCAATATGAAGACGCCCAGGGAGTGTATGTGTACACTTCTTTACTTTTTATTTCAAAAGGGAAAGACTAAAATTGAGAAAACCTCTTTATTTTTCACTCTTTCCTCTTCATGATACAGGATTGAAATGTAGATTTGACTTACTTTCAGGTGATAATTCAATGACAAAAGTCAGCAGAACAGTTTCTGTGATGGTTCTGTAAACTATGAACTATTTCTTTTGTAGTTATTGTTTCATGTTCTAGTAAATTAGATTAGTCGTATTAAATACTTCTACAGTCTTTAGATATTTGGGGGAAAAAAAGAAAGAAAGAAAACTTGTTGGGCTGGAGATGAAACTCAGTGGTAGAGCATTTGCCTAACATGGGTGAGGCCCTGGGTTCAATCCCTTGCACTGGAAAAAAACAAAAACAAAACATTCTCTCTTGCAAAATAAGTTCCATTGTGAAAGTTCCTCAATATGTTTCCCCCGTCTCCTGTCCACTGACTTGTTAAACCAAAGACAGTCAACCAGTGTTGATTGGATTTTAACTACTCTTTGGCTATAAATTCCTCTCCACAAAAACAAAACAAAACAAAAAAATTATTACCAAGTGAGCTAAATATATCAAGAATAAAATCACTTTCTACAATAAATTACAATATATCTTTGAATTTTACTCATGAAACTTAAGAGTATGAAACTATCTTAACCCATTTTTCTCTAATATTTTTCTTGAATTCCTACTTTCAGATACTATTTTTATTTCATTTGGATTCATAGAAGCATGATTTTTGGTGACCATTTATCAAAAATCAGTATACTTGTCCCAGTTTTGTAAAACAAAAGCAAGGGGATGTTATGCATGAATAGGAAAAGAAACTTAGAAAATAGGTTTTTCCCTGTTGAGAATATTTGTTAAAAATCATCAGTAGCTCCTGAGAAATAAGAAAGAATACTGTTTTCTTCACTTTATTATTATTTTTTTTTAAATCAAATCATGTACCCAGAAAGAAATGGGACCTATCTCCAACCCCAAGGTTCATCTTCTCTCTGGTCAGATGTGTTCCTGTTGGGTGATCTGTCAAGTTGTACTGTGAGATGAATGGCCTCTTCTAAGTATGCTTCTCACTGTTTAAGTAATCCAGATGAGGAAAGTATTCACTGAATAGAACCTTTTATAATTCAAAGGACCCATCCATGCGTAGGCTTTTGCTTTAACATTATGGCGGCAACCTTCTCTTACAAATGGGCCACTTACCACGTCTCCAGCGGGCAAGTTTTCTTTCTTTCTTTCTTTTTTTTATATATATATACCTTTATTTTGTTTATTTAGTTTTATACGGTGCTAGGGATGGAACCCAGGGCCTCACACATGCCAGGCTAGCGCKCTATCCCTGAGCTACAACCCCAGCCCTGACAAGTTTTCTTGCCTTGAAAGTCCATCCATTGTAAACAGGCAGAAGAAGGGAGTCGGTGTGTCTTTCAGGGGGTAATTAAAGTCAGTTTCCTTGGAGAAAACTAGATTGGCCACTTTTAGTATTGATGGAGCCCATTTCATGGTACCTTAATCACACACTTAAAAAACAAATCTTGATACTCATAAATTTTAGATGATGTAATTTTCATTTCTTGAAATTTTGTATTCCCAAATCTCTTATTTTAYTCAGTTTAGATTAGGTTAGATTGTGTGATACTAAAAATTACCAAATTGTATTCATTTTTGTCTTAGGATGATCTTAAAATCCTCAGGGCAATATTTTTTTTTATTTATTTTTTATTTTTTAGTTGTAGTTGGACACAATACCTTTATTTTATTTATTTGTATGTGGTGCTGAAGATCAAACCCAGTGCCTCGCATGTACTAGGCGAACACATTACCACTGAGCCACAACCCCAGCCCAGGGAAATATTTTTATACATGACCTTGGTAGTATAGCTTCTGTCCACTTTTAGGCATGGTGTAGTCCTACTGACCATGTTTTTTAGGGTGATAGCCAAGATGTGAAGTCACATTGTGCACATCCCAACACAGCATCCTCTGTTATTTCCGTTACGTTTGGCACTGGAGAAAGATGAAGAAATATTAGTTTGCATGGCAGCATCAAATTAACAGAGCAGCGACAGAGCAAAATATGTAGGTTGTGGTTATTTAACAATGCCTGTCTTCTGAGAGGCTGCAAGGGCTCTCAGGATAGCTTCCCTAAAAGCAAACCCTGAGATGATCATGTGAGTGAAAGTGACTCCTTAGGAAGTGTCTCTAGGAAGGATGGTCACGGTGGGCATGGGATAGGGAAGGGAGGGGAAGGGAAGGCAGTCCATCAGAGGTGCTATATGAAGCAGTCCTKTGCACAGTAACTGGCTCAGTCCTGCAGAGAATTTCTGGAACCTGTGCAGAACACTTCAGAGTGTTCCAGAGTGTTCCCGATGGATGGGGTAAGAAAGGTTCTCAACTTTCAACCCATACCAATCAGTCATTGTTAACTAAGGATGGCATCCAGAAGAATGCAAATTCCCAGGAATTTCTGTTTTTCCTGCTCAGGCAGTTTGAGGACAGTCCTCTGACAGAGAGACTTAGGTTTTGGTTGCTTCCAGGGAAAGCACATTGGAATCTGGGTTTCTAGGGGATAAGCATCAAGCTGTGTCCACAATAGGACCCAAGAAATAATTTATGTACTGGTTTTATGAAATTTATAGCCAAAAATTCCACTTCAATAAAATACTCCAAAGGACCCAGTAAAAAGTCCTTTAAAACACTTCAATAATATAAAGCAGAGGATTACTTTTTTCACATAGATAGCAAAAATCTATTCTTGAATGACAAATTTTATTATATCCTAAATGGGAGAAATGTCAATCCTAATTTTCTGTTAAGGAATTGAATGTTGACAGAGAAACCAACTTTGAGTAGCAATTCAAACCAGCTATTGGTACCTAGATTCATATTCTCTCTAGATACATGAGATGATGCATTTGTGATTGAGAGGAGAACAATCAAATGGCATTGATGATCTGTTWTTTGATATTTCAAGACTAAAATATTGGGAATATATTATATCCAAATACAAGCTACCTCTGCATACCAAGTAGCTAAGGAAAACAATTGGAAACCCCTGAAACATCTGATAATTTTTCCCTTTAGAGCACATGTATTCTCATGATTCTAGCTAAGAGATACTTAGAAAAGAGCGTGAAACTYTGAAGGGAGGCAGGTTATGGTGGTGGTACAATTTCAATCTAACTTCTAAAATGTATTTCTTTAACAGAATTTTACAGACTGCCTTTTGAATTTTAACAATGTTTTGTTCTCCTTAACAGAAGCCATCAAATATAAAGTGTACATAAGCATGTATTCAGATGCTCAATATTATATGTTATATTTATGCATTTTCTTTATTTCAAAGCCTCAAAGCTCTTCATTGAATAATAATCTTCATTTTGGATAATTTTTGATGCAAATTTCCACAGTTCATAAATTTATAGAAATTGAGAGCAGTTACCTGACCTATTTTTATTACTAAAATATGATTTATTAACTGTATTGGTTGCATACTATACATTGGGTGATTATATAAGGAAAACATGTTTGTCTTGATTTTTATTTTTGATTTTTTATCTTTTAGTAATAAAGTTAAATTTTTCTCTTTTAAAATTTTAGTTACACATGGAATATTCCAATTAAATTTACTGAAAATGATACAACACATAGTGCCTTCTACAATAGGTCAGAAAAAGAAGGTAAATATTATCAATTGATTGATTTATTCTTTGAAATGGTGTTCTACATTAAACTAAGTGTGAAGAGTTACCCATAGGCTGAAAATTAAATAAATTTTAGCTTAAAGAAACCTCTTAAATAATTTGATGATTATAAATCTGTATCTACAATAATGACTTTTCTACTTTGAGATTTTTTTTAAATCATTTACCATGATTGACATACCCAGCCTTGGGAGATCAAAGTATAAGTTTGCTTCCTTCTCTTCATCTTTCCCTCTCTCTYTCTTCCTTTTTTATCTTTTTACCAAACAAATAAGTCATTGAATTTCTTAAAATGTTATGTGGCAGGCCTGGGTGTTTTTTTTATTTTTTTTTAACATTCTCATTAAATTAGACCAATCATTTTCTGAAAGTCTATCTCTTGTTCTCTCCATTGATTTGTCTTTTTCTTACTTGAAAAATTCTAAAGTTATATAGAAACAAGGAGACATTATCACAGATCTCCACGTCACCAAAAAAATAATAAATAAGACAGGTTTTAGCACTAATCCCAGAAGAACCTTGCTTTTAATACTTTTACCAATGTACTTGTTTTATGTCTCAAAACTTGTCTTTTATTTTTATTTTGCAGTCCTGGGGTTTGAACTCTGGGCCTCTTGCATGCTAGGCAAGTGCCCTTCACTAAACTATATCCCCAACCCTTTTTATTTATTATTTTGAGACAGGGCTGTCACTAAATTCCTGAGGCTGGCCTTGAACGTCTGATTCTCCTGTCTTAGCCTCCAGAGTCTCTGGATTTACAGGCATGTGTCACTGCACTCAACTCAAAACATTTCTTATGTAAGACAAACTAGACTGTGTCCTTGGCTCCATTCCATCATGACTTGGTCTCAGGAGAGCATTGGGCATACACTTTCACCCGTGGCTAYTTAAGGCCAAGCAGATCACTTGTCTGTGGTTATGGTTTGGATATAAGTTGTTCCCCAAATGCTCACATGTGAAACAACGCAGGAAGGTTCAGAGGAGAAATGATTGAGTTGAAGTCTCAACCCAATCAGTGACTTAATCTCCCTGAGTGGGATTAACTGAGTGGTAACTGAAGTGGTAGGGTGTGGCTGGAGGAGGTGGGAATTAGGGCGTGGCTTTGGGGTATATATTTGTATCTGGAGAGTGGAGTCTCTCTATTTTCTGTTTGTCATGTTAGCTGCTTCCCTCTACTATACTCTTCCGCCATGATGTTGGGCCTCATTTAGAGCCCCCAGGAATAGAATTGGCCTTCTGTGGACTAAGACCTCTGAAACCATGAGCCCTCAAATAAACTTTTCCTCCTTTAAAATTGCTCTGGTCAGATCCTTTAGTCACAGCAGTGAAAAAGCTGCATATGCCTATAACATCCTAAAATGTTAATTATGTCTGAGTTCATCTGGCAAATAAATTTTATTCTGTTTCCAGTTGATTTTTTTTAAAATCAGCTTTATTGAGATATAAGTTGCATACCTTTAAATTTACCCATTATTTTCTTATTTTACAGTGCTGGAGATTGAACTCATGACCATACACATGCACAGCACACACTCCATCACTAAGCTCCATCCCACTCCACAGTTCATCCATTTAAAGAGTAAAATCCAATTTTTTTTTTTTTTGTATATTCACAGTCACATCAGCACAGGCAATTTAGAGCATTTTTATTACCTCAGAAAGAAACCCTTACCTTTATCTATCATCTCTCCATCCTCCCATGCCTCAGCCCAAATTGAACACTAATCAACTTTCTACATCTAGATTTACCTCTTCTGTACATTTAATGTAAATGAAATTACATATATATATATAATTATATATAATTTATATATAAATAGCATTTTTAATCTTTTTTTATTTAGCTTAATGTTTCCATGGTTCTTCCTAGTTGTTGCATGTATCAGCATTTCATTCATTTTTATTGYCAAATTATATTCCATTATATGGATATGTGACCTTTCTTTATACATTTATCAACTGACAGATATTTGAATTATTTGYACCTTCATCTCTTGTCAGTAGTGCTGCTATAATCATTTATGTATAAGTTTCTCTGTAACTTCCCTAGGTTTTTTCCCACTTTTTTAAAAAAAAACTTGTATTATAAAATCTTTTGTGATTTTTAGATTTWCTATAAACTCTACCAGCTTTGCTATTATGGAAGTAAGACTCTTCTTTAGGCTCTTCTTGACAGGAATTGCTATCACAATGAAACTTTCCCTTTATCATTTATGGTAACAATTATTATAGCATTGTGGTCAACATTCTGAATTTCCAGATCAATACCATTCTGTCTCAGTATTTGTATTCATTTAGGTTGTGATTGAMTACTAAGCTGTATCTCTTGTGGTCTGTCTTCCGACCATTTTCAGATTCGTAAGCACATTTGCCAAAGGAAAATGGAAAAGACAGAAAGAACAYACTAAAGAATATGTAACAGCCCTGGTAAAAGACATAAGAGAAGGTTAGGATTTCATTGGRAGGTTTAACTTTTTACCACATTTTCCCCCCAGTGGTCACCATGTTTAATGAAGGTTGGAAGAATGTCTTGGAAGCAGCTTCATTTGCTGTTTACAAATTTAAAAGCATGAATAATTCATCTATCCTTACAGTTTACCCAGCATTTTCATGGCSTTAGGATCCCATAGCAGTGAATTTTCAAGATAACTAATGCTCACTCTAATACATCATAAGTAAATTTTAAGAGATCAGAATAAACAACCTTCTAATATTTATTGTGTAYTCATTAGATAGATTTGGAATGTTGAATTTGATCCCTTAATTAATCAGTTATTTCTTTCAAGCCAGTATTTATTAAAGCTAACTGACATGCCAGATACAGGGGTAGGCCTGGAGATAATGTGAGAGTAGGGGAGAAGCATGACCCCTTACCCTGTGTGGACAGTTGTCCAGGGCTAGGTCAGCAGGTAGATACAATACTGTCCTAAGTGGCTGGTGTGGTAACTGAAAATAGTGAAGGGAACACACAGGACAAGCACCAGCCCAGATGTGGGGGATCAGGGAAGATTACTAAAGAAAAGGATTTCTAGGCCAAGAGTTCAGGGGCTACTGATAGAGTATAAATGGGTAACAGGATTGATGGAGTCTTGGGGGTCCCTGTACTCTGAACAGGGAGTGTTAGCATAGAAAAGAGAGAGGGAGCTCTCACACCCCTTTCTACCCTTGAAGTATTATGTTTAACACATTTTCTTTTTTTCTGTAACTATTGACTTACCTTTGTCTCTCCTCCCACGGAGTATTCCTTGAGGAAAAGAAACTTATCCCTTATCCGTTGCTGTTGTTACTGTTCCTGGCCACTTAGCCAGAAACAAACTAGACATCTCTTCCTACTTCAAAGTGCCTGCTCCATTTTTAGGCTATGCAATAAGTTCCTGTTTCCTGTTTGAGAACATCTTCAGCTCTCCGCTCGGAGCACAGATGACGAACATGTCCTGAGTGTACTGAATGGGTAACCAGCTCATGTTACCAATCCTGCTGCCCTCCTCTTGGTTTCTTTGATGACTCATCAGTTAGAAACTCCCCAGGCAATAGTGGGACTTCCCCCCTTCCCACCCCAGATCTTTTTTATTTACATTCATATTTTAAGCATTAGAAAAAAATTAAACATGTACTCTCTAACCAAAGATGAATGAACGAGGACTTCTATCACAAACCTGTTCAGGCTATTCCAAGGTGCCCTAAAAACCTTTCCTTTTAAACTATAGTTACTAACTAGAGCCTCTTTTAAATGAATTTATCTCTGTTAAAATGAATTTATTCTTACCAAAATATGTTTCTTTATCCTCAATGCTGTTATTTCCTCGTTGGGATTTTATTATAAACATAGTCCTTCTCAGGACTTTCTCTGTAGAATATTTTATGCTGCCGTTTCATTTGTCATTGTTCCTTTATGTTTCCAACAAAATCATTGTCATTTAAGCTTCCTATGCTCTCTTTCTTCTTTTTCAATTAACCTTTAAGCTTTCCGAAGACACAAACTGCACCTCGTTTCTTGTCTCCTGTTCACTCTTATTACTAGTGCTAGGCACATCCTGAGAGTTTGGTGAGTTCTCGCTTAATGGACTGTCACCTGTGTATGGTTTTGTAACCTCTCTTTCTTTAGTATCAGATACTATTTTGGCTATTGTYGATGCTTCTACCTTTAGTGTTACATGGACCTTTTTACTTCTAATTTGCCTCTTTCTAATATTTAGTGTGATCTTGGGTAATCACCTTGCTAAAAACATAATATTTTTAAATAGTCATCCATAAATACATAGGAGCTGAGGCCTAGGARAGATATAGACAGGCTTTATAGCTCTAACTTCCAGATTCAACTATCACTGGATACTTTAATAACCGTTCTGACTATCATAAAAACAGGGTTTACTAAACATTAATAATGGCTATATTTAAATATTTATTACCAAAATAATGGTGAGCATGTAATTTTATATACAATGACAAAAAGCAAAGGTCTTCATTTTTTCAGCCTGAGCCTCATGGAATGTGCAAACTTTGGATAATTATGGACACCATTTTGGTGGTTTGGAAACTAAGTTTGTTTTTTCAGCCCTGGTCAACCAAGTCTTGGAAGATTTATTCACCCAAACCAAACATACAAGAGATTAACCAAGAATGCTAATTTGTTAATTTACCCACAGATAAAATATCCTGGCCTAGTAAACCAGCATACTCATGTCARCTAATTGGTGTCTCTTCCCAGGGGAAAAGTTTACTTAGTAAGGATTAGGGCAGAGTTAAGGTAAATCAGTTATTTTAAGATGTCATCAAACTGTGATAGCCTGATATATTGCATCCTCCAGGTGACCGTAATTATTTTACTTAGAAACTATCAATAGTAGCCTGATGCAATAAAGTTTCTTGTTTGTGCAAGAGTTCAAAGAAGGTATTTCTGACTTGCCATCTCTCTTGGGTGGCTCTCCATCAAATAACAATCCTGTTTTCTTCCTTCTTCGGATTCTATCCCCTCTTGGAAGTTAGAATTCCTTGCTAGATCTTTTGTATCTGAGCAGAAACAGAGGAAGTTAATTGAGAGACTAGGTCTAGAAGTGCATCTATTGCTTTTGCCCACATATTATAGCCAGTTCTCAATGTGTGCTGCTACCTAACTGTAAGAAGGCTAAGATGTACAATTTAGCTCTATACCCAGGAGGAAAAGGGAACAGTGTGGTGAGCCACTAACAAGTCCCTGCCACATACACTGTTCTCTATAGGACCAGAACTGTCAACAAGCCTGGAACACCTGTGCCATCTCAGTTGGGCCCCTTCCCWGGGCAGACTGGAGACACTGGCAGATCTTCACTATCTAAGACTCTTTTGCARTTTTTCTTCCCAGTTGCCAGAATCATCACCACTGACAATCCTTCCCCATGACAGAAAGGTTGGCATTTTCTCAGACTCCTGCTTGTTTCATATTAAAACTACTCCTTTCTTTCCAGGAAGATTRTAATAAACTATTTGCTAAGATCTGGGAGCGACCCTATAATTATTGCTAATATAATCATTAATACTTTCTTGATTGGGCATTTTGTTGTAAACATTATCCAATTTGACAATGGATCATGTTACCTTTAGTTTCAGAGATTAAAATGTTCTTCCTTGACCCCACAAACGGACAATGCATCCCTGTTTGAAATTTTTAGCTCTTTAAGTTTATTTTGTGTATCATGAGTCAAAAAGTACTGCTCTTGAGTCTTTTGTTTTACTAGTTAAGTGATGCACAAAATTTAAAAAGATGTAAACTCTGTCATTACATGCTAAAATTTAATCTGCTCAAAGAACTAGTGCAATACAGCCTTTATAAAGAAAAACATTTCATTCTTTAGGAATCTCAGGTTATTGCAAGCTGTCTTCTTGTCTAAAATTTGTTATAATTATTTATAAAAAATAGTAACATTAAAGAATGATTGTATATGCTCTTTTGGAAAAGGTAATTATCAGTCTCCATAAAAAAACAACAACACTGCTCTTAATAGTCAGAAAAAAAACTAATAAAAAGTAAATGGAGAAACAAAAAAAGAAACACACCCGTACTTCTCTGTGTCACCAGGAATAGGCTCAATATTTTAGTCCTACTTACTTCATTATGTAACTAAACCGCCAGACAGTATTTTGCTGCTGACAACTGTTCTGAAAGTAGCATGAACTTGGAAAGTCCTTAACTACTAACTTCCTGGATCTCAGCTTCCTCATCTATAAAGTGAGAAAAATCACAGTGACTCTAGACAGGCTTAACTGGAGACATATAAAGCACACTAAAATACTGCAGTATTTAGATGGATTGCCAGGAACTTCTCAATGTTATTTATATTTGCTTTGCTATTTATAGAACTGGCAGCCTATCCCCTTTCATAATAATGGAGATAGCTACCATCTGTTGGACACATAACTATGTGACCAACGCTTTACCTATGTTATCTTATTTAATCTTTGCAACAGGCCTGGGGGATTTTTATCCCTGTTTTACTCCTATTGAATGGGGACACAGGAGTCCAGTGATCTGGCCAAGGTGACAGGGCTACTAAGCCACAGAGAAAAGACTTCATCCTAAGTCTTTCAGACTCCAAAGTTCATATTCTTTCTTCTGTAACATATGGCTTTCTGCTTAGCAAGAGACTCTCCTCCTGATACAAACATTCAAAGTATAAGGTTGCCAAAAGATTAGCTTCCTTTCAACAACTTGTCCATGGGAGAATGACAAAGAAAGATTAATACTACATGAGTGAGGTAAGGGTTTATAATTTGTCAAGTACCTACTCTGAAAGTTCCTAAAGAAACGTATTGTCTTGTTGAAGAGCTTGCTCATATATTATGAAAAACTACTGTGTCCTGGATATCTTCCAGACCTTGCAAACACTTCCAAGAGTTAAATCATCTTTCCTCCCAAACTGACTTACCTTCCTCTGTTCTCTAATGGCAACACCATTATTCATCCAATCATGCAAGCCCTTTTCCCTTCCTCCAACTGTCCACATCAGGTCAGAAGAAGGATGGTGTTGGTCTTACCTGTAATCACCTCCTGTTTTCATCATCTCTGCCTTATCCTTCTTGCCCTTCATTATAACAATGGATTCTAAATGAGTCTTCTTTTCTCTAGAAGGTCCTCYAAAATATCTCCCATAAAATGACCTTTCTAGAAAACAGACTTGAGCATATTATTTTCCTGCTTAAAAACCTTCCTTATCTTCCCACCTCTCAGAAGGTGAATTCTCGATGCATGATCTTCATTGCAAGCTTCATCTTCTGTTTTCCAGTATTTTCTCCATTGTCATTACACTCAACTAGTTGAAATTCCTCAAATATACTAAGAATCCTTACGTCATTATTTAAATTGGATATTGTCCATGCAAACAAAAAGCATAGGAATTAGAAAGTTATGCTAACAAATATTGGTCATGTCAGAACATAGCTATGATTTTAAGTGTATATGCTTAATTTAAAACATAAGTCTCTATTCCTTTAGTATTGGGCTTTAAAATCTTTATACTAGGACCCTCTGTAAATATTGGATGTTAACTTTAGAAAGTTAATTTGATGAATCCATTGATGAAAAAATGTTGTTATAATCAAAATAAGGWGATAAAAGATCTTACCAAGATAAACAAAATTGAAAGAAAAATTATGACAAGTATTAAAAAATCAAGAATGTTCCATTTGGATTCTAATTCATTTGCAGGTCTTCTTGACACTTTAAAAGCTTTACCAGGGCTGGGGATGTAGTTCAGTGGTAGAGCACTTGCCCAGAGAACATAGGCCTTGGTTTCAATGCCCAGCACTGCAAAGAAAGGATAAAAAAATAAAAAGGAGGACCACTGRTTCTCAAATCATTATTCTTAGCAATAGCCATTTTCACCAGTTTCAATGGTTGGTTAAATGTTTACATTTTTATCCTCTCCCCAGGCAGCCACAATAAACACTTTTCATGTAATGAATCCATTGTGATTTGGAATATATGGACTATCCCAGAAGGCATAGGCTTCTCTGTCTTTAGGYGTTGTTTTATTTTATTAAAGGATTGGCCAGCATAGAATTATTTCATTCATTTGGCAAGCTTCTGCCAGTAAGAAATGTAAGTCA